ACAAACTGAAGGAGTATAGATTGTGAAAGACTGTAACAAACTGAAGGAGTATAGATTGTGAAAGACTGTAACAAACTGAAGGAGTATAGATTGTGAAAGACTGTAACAAACTGAAGGAGTATAGATTGTGAAAGACTGTAACAAACTGAAGGAGTATAGATTGTGAAAGACTGTAACAAACTGAAGGAGTATGGATTGTGAAAGACTGTAACAAACTGAAGGAGTATAGATTGTGAAAGACTGTAACAAACTGAAGGAGTATAGATTGTGAAAGACTGTAACAAACTGAAGGAGCATTGATTGTGAAAGACTGTAACAAACTGAAGGAGCATTGATTGTGAAAGACTGTAACAAACTGAAGGAGTATAGACTGTGAAAGACTGTAACAAACTGAAGGAGTATAGATTGTGAAAGACTGTAACAAACTGAAGGAGCATTGATTGTGAAAGACTGTAACAAACTGAAGGAGTATAGATTGTGAAAGACTGTAACAAACTGAAGGAGTATTGATTGTGAAAGACTGTAACAAACTGAAGGAGCATTGATTGTGAAAGACTGTAACAAACTGAAGTAGTATAGATTGTGAAAGACTGTAACAAACTGAAGGAGTATAGATTGTGAAAGACTGTAACAAACTGAAGGAGTATAGATTGTGAAAGACTGTAACAAACTGAAGGAGTATAGATTGTGAAAGACTGTAACAAACTGAAGGAGTATAGATTGTGAAGTTACATATATATATCAAAGTGAGGGCACATCTCTCTGGTCGACCTTCTCTTTCCAGTTGGTTATATATACACATATACATATTTTTACACACATACATATACGTATGTACATATATCTCTCTCTGTGTATGTATATATATATGTATGTGATATACATATACATAAGATATACTTTAAGACTTATATGTATATATATATATATATATATATATATATATATATATATATATATATATATATATATATAAGTCTTAAAGTAATCTTTCGATGGTAAATAATCAAAAGAGCTGGTTTCTCTCAATATTGTCTGTTCCTCCGTCTGTCTGTCTGTATCTAGAAAGTTTCTCTGTTCATTTCATATTATTACAGATGTATTTATTTACCATTTAGCACATTATCTGACACTTAAACTAGGATTAGATCACCTGAGTCTTCCATTTTATGGCAGCTGGAAAATATGTTAGGCTTGGGGGGGGGGGGGTGGGGCGGGCGGGAGGAGCACTCAACTACACACACTCACACATACACGCTCGCACGCAGGCGCACTTACATAAATACGTACATGACATGAAAAAAATATACCATAACTATACTGGATAAGGAAAGCACTTCTTGGCATTGACCTCGGCATGAAAATCACATGACTGACCTAGAGGTCACAGAGATGGGTGTGGGGAGGAGGGTGTGGAACCTAGGAAGTCACGGGACTTGCTCGCCCTGCTTTTTGATGATTTGTTGTGTATATTCGCGTGTGTGTGTATCGCGCGTGCATGTGTGCGTCTCTCTCTCTCTCTCTCTCTCTCTCTCTCTCTCTCTCTCTCTCTCTCTCTCTCTCTCTCTCTTTCTTTCTCTCTTAAACTGGGATTTCTGGGTCACTAATTTAAACAGTGCATTTTTTTTAGAGTAATTTGCTTTGCTTCAGTCTCGATCTATTCTTTTCCCTGCTACCTAGTTTGACCAGGACGGCGCGAGTTCGATTCCCAGCTTCTCCAAGTTCTATCCCCACCCACCCGCTTTTTTCTTCTTCCAATAATTGGTAATGACATTTGCTTATCAGGCCGAGGCAGGATTTTTATTCCAATCGATGTATTAGTTCTGGGGTCCACATAGTTACATAAAGGATCTGTCGCTTCCTCTTCTTCTTCAGCATTCCGAGCCCATGGGGTTCATTGCTGCACATATCACCCGCCTCCACTCATCTCTCTGGTCGGCCTTCTCTTTCCAGTTGGTGACATCAAGTGTTTGCAGGTCTCTCTGGACATTATCTCTCCATCGTTTTCTTGGTCTGCCTCGTGGAAAAGACCGTCACTAAGTATACAAAATTCACGCTGCTGTTTTTAATCTCCCTCTTATCGTTACCGCCACCTCTTCGTACAAGTAACCTACTGCCACTACTGTTTGTATGTACCACTTTGTAAGGCGGTGTAGACAGGGGGTCGTGAGCCTGAAGATTTTGGGGCTCATGGCTAGTGTTGTCGCCACGGACTGTACAGGTTAGGATATTCAATTTGGTTCCCGGACAGATACACTCCATCACCTTACACGGGTCGAACCCGGGTCTCCAGCGTGAGAACCCGACGTTGTAATCGCTCGGCCAGCCGCTCCAGATAACCAATGAATCGTAACCAATGAATCTAAATGATCAGATCTAATTAAAATGTGAGTCTAAATAGAGATGCATCGTCAGGAAAAAGCGTCCACCCCATTCCCTTCTCATTCCCTTCTCTCCTCTCCCTCTCTCTCCCTCTCTGTGTTTGCGCGCGCGTCTGCGTGTGTGTGTACTTGTGTACGTGCGGGTTTGTCTGTCTGTCTGTGAGTATGTCTCTGTCTGTCTACCGTTACATCTAAAAAGAAACTGCAAAAAACAGTAGCAGTACCAGCAGTGTTGGTGGTGGTGGGAGTACAAAGTACCAAGGGGAAGTTAAGTTAGTTGCGTATCCTTTACAGGACGTTGCAGAACCAACCCTAGCAATTTTTTGGCTTGTGTGGTATTTCTAGGCAAATTTACGTCTAGTAGTTTGCCACTGCTTTCTAGACTGTCGGCTTCTCGATACCACTGTGGAAACCAACGCAAGGTGCTAGGCCCGCAGTTGGGATCGAAGCCGGCACCCCGGCATTACGAAGCGCGTTTGCAACACCTAAGCCTCAGATGCCGACATCAAGATCAAACATAAAATAATGCACACATACTCAAATACAGCAATTTGGTCATGCTAAACACACCTCGGTAAATGTGGAGGACAGATTGCATAGAAAATAGAAACTGGTTAAGGTGAAAAATGTTATAACATCTGTCAAAATAAAATAAATACATAAATAAAATAGCAAGGGGACATAACATGCACCACTTGTGGAGTACAAAAAAAAAAAAAAATTGTTTGGTGTTTCCTGTGTGGGTTCCGTTGCGAGCATGGGGGGGGGGGGGGGGGGGGGGCGCAGACATAAATTGAAATATAATCTGACTTAGCACGACACACCATGATGATGATTGTAGTAAACGGTAGTCGGGGGATATGAACCAGCGTCATTGCACAGGTTATAAACCATAAGTGCTCTGCCACCAGTACAGACAGCTGATAAAAAACCGTTCGCCTGTGTCTGCCGTCTGTAGCTACAGCGATTTCCTTCTTTTACGCCAGAGTGTCACTCTGGTACCCATTTCCTAGAGGTTGGGTGAACCCCGGGAACAGCCCGGTTTCGAACACCGACCGTGCCTGCAGCGAGTCGCAGCTGGATTTGAAAGCGAGCCACGATCGTCTCATGTTATAAACACATTACTGTTGAGTAATTACAGTGACAGTAATAATTTAGCAGTAACATAAAAAGAAAACATATGTTAATGTTTATTGTTAGGTGGGGGTAACTACAGTGGACTACTTACACGATAAAAACCGGGTAGAGCAAACTGTTGGCCGTTATGGTTGTGTTCAGCGAGTTCCATGCTCTCAGGGTCTGGTGATGATAGCCGCTGTGAAGGATCGCATGGGTCGCCATAATATTTTCTAATACTTATCTTCGAATGGAAGAGAAGATGGGGAAAAGTTTCAGCAGAAATGATAAACAGAAGCAACAGTTAGAAACCGGTGGGTGTTTTCCTCTTGTTTGGCTTCTGCAACATTCACGACCCTTCACGGCTTTTGAACTCTTTGCCAGCCAATGAAATAAGAGCCTAATAGTCTTTTTACCTAGATAGTAGGCAACCTGAAGACAACGGAGTGGTACCGCTGGTTTTAGCAACTGCGTCTGCTGTGAATGTAGGGTCCAATGTGGGAGTGGCTGTCTCAGCCACAGTAAAAAGTTAGTTACGTATCCTTTACACGGCGAAGCAGAACCAACCCCAGCATTTTTTGGCTGTTGTGGTTTTTCTAGGCACATTTTACGTTTAGTAGTTTGCCATTACTTACCGCACAGTCAGCGCTCGGTACCATTGTTGAAACCAACTCAAGAGGTTCTGTTGCAAATTCACACGCATGAGGGAATCGACCCGGCACCCCGGCATTACGAAGCGCTTTCGCAACACCTAAGCCACAGCGGCTGACATCTGCCACATAAAAACGGATTCTCTATCGTCGTTAGGCTGTCCCCCCCCCCCCCTTTCTGTCTCAGATGTCTCCTCTCTATAGCTTACTGCATTTGGCCTTTTTCAAACTGCGACAGTCCATCTTTCACTCTCTGCCTGTGAAGGAATCGGCCTGCAGATGGTTTATCCCAAGAGTCTGTGTCAATATTCATATCTTTCAGATTACCTTTGCATATGTCCTTATAGCGTAGTTCTGGCCTTCTTGCAAGTCTTATTCCTTATCAAGTCTTATCAGTTCACTATACACTAGATCCTATAGAATGCGACCGCTTTTAAGCGAGAGAAGTGTCCCAACCAACGCCGGCATCTTTGTTTCAGTAAAAAGTATATTGTTGGCATTCCTGCTCTTTTTAAGTATACATTCGTTGGGGATAAATTCTCGCCATGATATACCAAGAATGAGTCTCATATTTTTTGGTTTTGATTTTGTTTTTGAGAAGAACAGGAAATCCAGGTTTCACTTCTGTAAAGGAAATATAGAGACGCAAGCTTCGTAAACTGTTATGTTGGATTTTATTTTTCCGTGAGAGGCTATGTTAAAGAAGTTCGTTTAAAAAAGTCAGCGATCGAAGGTTTTTTTCTGCACCATTGGACGTTTTGTTTATAATGTGCAATCCATGCTTGTTTTCTAGAAAAACAAAGCCGACACACACCAAACAGTTTCTAAAAAAGGTGTCGGTACTCACAACAGTGCCCTTTATAGAAGCGCTTACAAAATGATGCGTTTAAAAAAGTGCTATCGCCACAGATAAAAAAAAAAAACAATTCCGGGCGCCACCCCATATTTATATTAACCAATCAACACTCATTCAATTGTTTACGTGAAAGAAATTATCGCCGTCTCTTTAATTCTCATAAAATGTCCTCGTATCTATTTTAGACTGCATGGGTTCGAAGAAGATGACTGGAGCCTTCGAGGTAATCTCATCTGATAGGCATCAGTTGAGTGTTTGTGCCAAGAGACTCTGGGGTGAGAGGGAATGAGCGAGGGGACTGGCTTGCTGATAGAATCAAGGTAGCTACAGAAAGAGCAATAGATCCTGTTGAAGTTCTCAATGCTTTCAAGTTGCCGGGACGAGCAGATGATACAGGACGACAATGAATCGGAAATCTTGACTAGAAAGAAGTTTGAACACCGGATCAACATCATGGCACACGGGTAGTAACCCATAAGTGCTCCGTTCTTCTTCTAACTCAAGTCTGAGTCCGAAGAAGCTCAGCACAGTGCACATGCTCTGTAGCACCGGCGAGGATCCTGAAATACTTAGGGTAGATTTTTGACTTCAAATTTTGTCCGGGGAGCACCGTTAGGCTATTCTTTTCGATTTACAACTGACAAGGATTTTTTAAACATGCGCAACGATGCACACGGGCGTCTGATCTCACTACCCAGAGACCATGGGGAATTACTAAAAGTCCAAGTCCCCGTGAACAAATCCCAGCCCTTACCAGGGATTGAACTTGGGGCCTCTAGCACTCAAGGCGGACACCATGCCTCAAGACCACGCAGCCCCACAGAATACTTAGTAGTTTGCCATTGCTTACTGCACAGTCAGCTCTCGGTACCATTGTTCAAACCAGCTCAAGACGTTCTGCTGCACAATCGTCAGTAGGAGGGAATCGACCCGGAACCCCATCATTACGAAACGCGTTCGCAACACCTAAGCCATAGAGGCTGACCTCTGCCATATAATCCACATAAAAACGGATTTTCTATCACCGTTAGGCTGTTTTCAAAGAAGAATAGAAAACAAGAACTTTATATTAAAACAGATGTTGCCAGACATGAACACAGATAGTAAAAGTAACCCAACACAGAACTGTTGCTATCGGTCGCCACACGCTGGGAGCTATACTTAAGATGGAATAGGAGCGCATATGGCCTTGACCAATGTGCGAGGATGATAATAGATCAATTAACTAAATAACCTTTTTTGTTTTTCTGGTAAAAAGCTCTCAGAGGTGCTACACTATACAGTGACGTCTACACTATACAGTGACGTCTACACTATACAGTGACGTCTACACTATACAGTGACGTCTACACTATACAGTGACGTCTACACTATACAGTGACGTCTACACTATACAGTGACGTCTACACTATACAGTGACGTCTACACTATACAGTAACGTAGCAATGTCAGATGATACTTGGTGCGGAAAATCTCCTGCGCCCCCCCCCCTTTTTCTCTTCCCTCCGGCGCCGAACTTATATATATCCATTTACACCATATACCCAGTACTTAGTCCGACTCGCTAGCACAGTTGGTTAAAACCCTCTGCGCGGCGACCGGGTGACTACCAACCAGTCCACTGTAGTTCGCATGTGGGATGCAATTTTTAGCTATCCTCCGAAAAACGGTCCCAAATTATCGAGGCAGAAAATATACCCTAACAGGGCCTCAGTCACATGTAAATTGCGAACTTCCGGCGACTTAAATTGCGTACTTCCAGTGACAACAGCCACCGCCGAGAGTATCTCAGGTATATTTTTGGCCTCGATAATTTGAGACCATTATTCGGAGGATGGCCTAATTTTTTTCTTTTTTTTTTAGATGCCCCACCCTGACTTTTGCCGGGGGCCCTAAATATAACTAGGCCCTAAATATGGCCTAACGGTTAAACGGGATTTCCGGGACCTTTCCACGGGTGATCCTCATCCGCCTGGTGGCACCTTGTGTCACTGGGTGTTTACCGCTTGTATGATGTCTTGATGGGGTATAACTTACCTACCTACCTACCTACCTACCGGGTGACGAATTCCTTGTGGTCCAGGTTCGCAGGGACAGGCAGAAAAGCCACATTTCTCCCAGATTTACGGTATCTATCATGAAATCAAGGCTAAAGGCTTGCGATATCCATAGTACAGAGCCGACGGGTTTACAACTCATGGTTTATGGATATTAAATAATGAAAAAAAATATCCAGTACGTACATTTTTATATAGAAAAGGAATTTACACGTGGTCTCCGACTGACTGACTTTCTACCCCACCAGGACATCACAAAAGCGACAAACACACGATGACACAATGTGCCACCATATGGATGAGAATCACCGTGGAGAGGTCCCAGAAACCTCGTTTAGCCATATTTATGGCCGGGCTATATTGCAGCCCCTGGCATGAGCCAGAGTAGGGCTTCAAATAACAAAAAATTTCATCCTGAAAAAGGACGGTAAGATCAGTGCTATTACATGGTCTCAGACTGACTGGCTGACTTTCTACCCCACCAGGACATCACACAAGCGATTAACGCCCGATGACACAAAGTGCCACCATGTGGATGAAGATCACCGTGGAGAGGTCCCAGAAACCGCGTTCAGCCAGTTAGCCATATTTATGGTCTCAATATATTGCGGCCCCTGGCAAGAGCCAAAGTGGGGCTTCAAAAAACGAAAAATTTCATCCTCGTATCGTATCGTATAAAATCAAACAAAAATTCCAAGCTTAGTCCTTTTTTCTAAAAAGGACGTTACTTATAAAGGTATACATGGTCTCCCATGCCTGCAGGTAAAAGACTAACGCGACATCCACGAGCTCTAATTTCATTGGCTAGCTGAGAGTTCAAAGGTCATAAAGGGAACATATTGATAAATGTTGCAGAAGCTAAACAAGAGGGAGACATCCACCGGTTTCTAGTTGTTCCTTCTGTTTATCTTTTCTGTTGAAAAAATCTACAGTAAGTTTGTCCTAACCTCTCTTCCACTGGAAGAAAATATTATGGCGAGCCATGCGATCCTTCAGAGCGGCTATCATCACCAGACCCTGAGAGCATGGAACTCACTGAACACAACCATAACGGCCAACAATTTGCTGTACCCGATTTTTATTGTGTAAGTAGTAACTAGTATACTGTAGTTGACCTCAGTAATAATAATTAATAAGTTAGTGCTATTACTGCTAAATTAATAATGTGTCACAGTGGTTACTTAACAGTAACGAATTTTAAACACAAAACAATCATCATCAGGCTGTGCCGTGCTTTGTCAGGTCAGATCAAGTTTCTTACAATTCGTCCATTTCTAACTACATGGTGTTGTATTATTTTGGACCCATTCTGTTTATATTTAACTCTTTCAATACCAAGAAACCTAACATACGTTTCTTGATTTGTCCATCATCTGTCATAAGAAAGAGAGCCGCCGTGGTCTAGCGGCTAGACGCTCGCCTGCGCATCGGAAGGTCATGGGTTCGGGTCCTATCAGGGGCCTGACTTGTTTCAAAAATGACCTTGAATTCCAGGTTGATACAGCCTTGAGTGGGTACCAAGAACAGTCCTGGGAAGGAAAGGCGGCCGGCGTGAAGCTGACCATATCACCCACCAAGTGCCGTTTGGTCTAAAAAATATAGGTCTAGCCCTCTATACCTGAAGGCGTTGAAGAGGGTCCTTTACATTACTTACTTACTATC